CTATATCAACTTTTTTTAAAAATTCTTCCAATTTTTTTCTTAAAAACACTCAAAATATACATAATAAAATTCTTAAAAAATGAAAAGTTAAAAATAATTTTTACCTTGCTTTTATGTGATATACACAACTAATGGGCATGTTCCTAATTCACTCATCCTACTATTCCTAATACTAATTATCCCTGGAAATTAATAGCTCCAGCGGAAATATGTATTAGAACTTTTAAAATATTGTTTTCTATCTTCATTATTATAGAACTTTGAGTACATGCACTTTTAATTTCAAAATTGTAGTTGTTTGACTTATTTCTCATTTTAAATTAATGACTTATTGATTATATTTATATTTCGAGGTGCACTAGTGTCTATGAGATAAAATATGAACTTAATTCTAAGTATATTGAAAATGTAAAATGCTTCAATTCCATTAATGAGTAGACGTCAGAGGATAATATATGTCTTTTTTTTTAAAAAATGAATTTTTAATAATTATAAATACACCCCTGTATCTTTTAATATTTATAAATACACCTCATAACTTTTAATATTTATAAATATGGCCCCGTATCCTACGTTTTTGGATTTTGTCGTATCCCCATACCCGTTTTCAAGTTTTCGCGTTTCCGCGTACCCGTATCGGTGCTACATAGTCCGTATATGATGGAGTATATGGCCCGGAACCCCCGGCTCACAGACTCCCACTACTCCAACACAGGCCCAAGAAGCACAAGAGGCCCAAAGCACAGCGGCCCAAGCTCAAAGAAACCCACAATGCGCCTGGGGTAGCCTTCGGCAATATGGCCGAAGGCTCCAAAACTCATAGGACAGCCAGATTTGAGCGATACAAAGCTACTGAGAGAAAATGGCAGAAATCAAGAGCCTTCGGCACTTTCGTGCCCTCGGCATCAGGGAAGCCTTCAGCTGAACCAAGCCTTCAGCTACACAGAGCCCTCGGCCGCAGGGAGAGCTTTCGGCTAACAGCTCAATAATCAAAGAATCTCTTTGGAGACAAGCAACCACCGCATTTAATGCGGCGTCACGTCCAACCACCGCATTTAATGCGGTGCACATGCGAGTGCCGGTGCCACCCCGATTGAGGTGACCCCTCGGCCGTTAGATTACTGACATGTGTACTCTCATCGCATTTATTGCTGCTATAAATAGCAGCCCCTATTCCTCTTGTAAAGGGCCGAACATCTCGAGTTCATTTAATATATTTGACTCTCTCTCTCTCTTACTTGTTTGCTCTGATTTCTCTCTAGGTTATTCTCATAATAACCCCCTGGATAAGCTACCCCTCGGATACACTATCCATCAGTATATAATCTAATTTCAAAAAGCACTACACATGAGAGAGAAAATTCTCCATTGACACCTAGCCGTGCTGACCCACCTTTTAGAAAATTATGTAATACTACGTCCCGAATTGATTGACAAAATTGATTTTTCTTTGTCAAACAATTTCATTTTATTCATATCATTAGGATGTCGAATTTTAATTATATTTTAATTTGGAGTTTGCAAGTTTGAAGAGATTTTAATGTAGTTTATGAAAATATGTAAATTTTAATTTTTTTTTTTTGAAAACATGTAAATTTTAATTGTTAAACATTGATTTAATTATGAAAGATTTAACTTTAACATTACTTGACCAAAATATGTTGACTTAGTAAATCAAATTGGGACAAAGAAGAGCCTTATTTAAGGGAAAAAAAAGTCAAAAACCTTGTAGTCATTCTGGCCCAAACTAATTAATTGAATCTGGAACGTTGTAGAATGTAGAACCTACAAACGCAGACCGAATAATGGAAGACTTGGAAACGGTTCTATGGAAAGTTTGGAAACACCTCGAAAGTTCTGGCTCCATCGTTTCTCTCGTATATGAATGCGTTCGTGCTCCTTCCGTTGCTCATCGAAGTTAATCCAGCTAAATTGATCATCAAATTCGTACTCCAATTCAATTCCTAACAGAAGTACCAATTCAGATTTGAGTCAATCATGTCTCTGATTCCAAGCATCTTCGGAGGTCGCCGGAGCCACGTTTCCGACCCATTCTCTCTGGATATTTGGGATCCTTTCCAAGGTTTCCCGTTTTCCAACGCCGTCGGCTCTGCACGGGAAACGTCGGCGTTTGCGAACGCGCAGATCGACTGGAAAGAGACGCCGGAGGCTCACGTGTTCAAGGCGGATCTACCGGGGCTGAAGAAGGAGGAGGTGAAAGTGGAGGTGGAGGAAGGGAAGGTGCTGCAGATCAGTGGGGAAAGGAGCAAGGAGCAGGAGGAGAAGAACGACCAGTGGCACCGCGTAGAGCGGAGCAGCGGCAAATTCCTTCGGAGGTTCCGGTTGCCGGAGAATGCTAAATTGGATCAGGTGAAAGCGTCAATGGAGAATGGTGTGCTCACTGTAACTGTTCCCAAAGAGGAGGTGAAGAAACCTGAGATCAAATCCATTGAGATCTCCGGTTAGATCTCTGCAATGGCAATAAGCTAATTAGTAATTAAGCTTATCCTGCTCTGTGTTCTTTTGGGTGAATAAGGAATGTGTTGTGATAAGATATTTGTGTCAAGTGTTCGAAAAGTTCTTGAAATGCCATGTATTTCTAGTACATTATACGGAATATGTTGGCATTTTATGCAAATGTTGCATATTTCTTGAAAAAAAATAGTGTTAAATTTGTTGGAAAGATAGTATTGCAAGTATTTTTTTATTTTTAATATTTTGAACAAAGTATAGAAATATATGGCTCATAGTACATTTTATAAATTGTTTTTGTTCTATTAATTTAATGATTGAAAAAATGTAAAAAAGAATTAAGCATTCTACGATACTAGTCAATCCACCCGTGCGTTGCATGGAAAACAAATGAAATCAATTAATTTTTACAAATAATTCATTTCTTGAGTAATGTGTATATACATACTTATTGTATAAAAATAAAAACATCATAAAGAATTATACGAAGTATTAGAATACATGTATGATAATTGTTAGTCTGTTAGAGATACACCAATTAGTATCAAACTAGTATTCTTTCATCCCTAACATATCTTGTCTAATGAAGGTGATAACAATTGTAATCATATTACAATCTCATACCTAGTATTGTTTAGTTATAATTATGATTATTATTCAACACATGACATTACTTTTTACTATCTTGTTGTGTTTTAAAGTTTCTAAATATATTCCATCTAAAAAGCGAAAATATTTATTTTATACTCCATAATATCTCTTCATTCATCTCAATATATGTTTTATAAAAGCTAGATATCAAGATTGTTAAAATCACTATATGTTTTATAAGAACTACATATCAATGTTGGTAAAATCGTGAGTTGAATCGTAAAATTGTATAATTCAGATCAATATCATTCAACCAATTTGACTCGTAAACAAAATTGGAAATGCTAAAAATCATTTCAAAATTGGGAACCATTATTTAAAATTGTGATTTCAACGGATTTTTAAAATAGTTACTTATTTACTAATGATAGTTATAGTAGAATTAAATGAATGAATTTTTGTATTTTATGTTGCAGCTAATTATAAAAAACAATTACTCCATCATCTCGTTAAACTGTGCTAACTTTATTTTTGCAGCTGCCCCAACAAAAATTGTCATTTCCATTTAAACTAATAAATGTGTAGATAAATTATTTTTCTCAATTGATTTGTAAGAATCTCAATCACATACAAAGTATTTTTTACTTTATTTATATTCCACATGCAAGTCAATTTTAGACACAATTAATGGGGGTACTGAATATTATCACTGTCCTCTACATAATATTTGTATCCAAATATATTGTAATACTCTATTTTATATTATGAAATTAGAACATTTCATTTTTAACTTTATTATATCATGTCTCTTAATTAATTATGTATACGTATCTTTTAATATTTTTCTAATATTTTTTTAATATTTAATGTATTTATGCTCAATATAATTTGATTAAACTATATATACACTACGTATATACGATAGTATATTTGATTGAAATGCTTCGTTCTAAACAATAAAATAAAAAATAAACATACATGCCCAGACCTCACATCTACGTAAAAAGCTTGGCCGATGAAGGATACACCTCATATATACACGCAGTTCCAAGTGGAAAAGTGGAACTGCGTGTAAAAGTGGTTAAGTGGTTAAGCTTGAAAACTTCCAAGTGAACCTCGTCACTCTGGCCAGCCACCTCCAGTTGCGTCCGAGAAGCATTTTCCCATTCCAAATAACAGCCCCATAATTTATACTCCCTCCGTCCCGAAAACAACCTCCCGGTTTGACTTTCACACACTTTTAGAAAATAAGTTTGACTTTACTGTAGAGTGCACTGTTTAAACACTGTTTGGCACTGTTTAAACACTGTTTGGCACTGTTTATCACTTTTTTATGTAAATAATTTGCCAAATAAGGAAAGTATTGAAGTGTGAAGTTAATTTTTGGGACATCCATTTAAGGAAAGTGAGAAAAGAACGAAGGCCCATTGCCGGAGAAGCTACACCAAAGAATGAAGAGAATGCTAACGGCATTGGGAATGGGAGATGAAGATACACGTACAGTAGATGACTAGATGTACATATATAACCAAGGTTTTAAATAGCGGTAGCGGTCATCGCGATAGCGGCCTGTAGCCGACTGCAGCGGTTGCAGCGGCGTGAAATATTTTCGATTGCACAAAACATAAATGTAATTTTTTCACATCATTCACACAACATTTAATTTTGAGTTTCACTTTGATCCATGCATCACCATTAATGTATTTTTTCACATCATTCACACAACAATTACACATTTACTGTAACACCGTCCCCAAATATATTTACCGTTATGTAAATTATGTATTGAATATGGTGTATTGAGTAATGAATTTACGAGGTTGTAAATTTTTGTTATTTCTTTTGCGTGAATAGTAAATTCCACGTGGGGCCCACACTCGGAGCGGGGGTAACCCGATAACACGAGACCACATGTTATATTCATCTTGGTCTAGATAATAGTTACATGGTGGTGGACATTCATAATGGGCCATGATAAAGGCATTGGGTTGACCGGTTTGGCAAATAGGGCCCAATTACCGGTATTGGTAATTTAACATATAACAGCCCGAAATGAATTTCGGGGGCTTATAAATTAAAGTTGGGGAATGTATATTCATTATGAGGGTCATAATGATTGAAAACACATAATATATTTTATTTGACCAGATAAAATAAAATATAGTTAAACTAGTCCGAGAAATACAACTTTCGGGGCCGAATGTACACGTCGGGACAACATGGGATGACCTCCCACATGAGTGGGGGCCACCCCACGTTTTTATGGGCTATTGAGACAAGGGAGGGCTGCTCAATGTCATAGGGAGGTGGCTGGATGATTTAATTGGCATCAAACAAGTGTGGACCTCACTCCCACACTTATTTGCTAAGTAAGACAAGGAGGAAGGTCTCCTCACTCCCACCCCTATCACTCAGCTCGACCCAGCCCCCAAAGAGAGAGAGGAAGAGCTCTGAAAATCCTCCATCTCCATAGCCAAGAAAGCTCAAACAAGCAAGGAGCTCAAGGGAGAAGATTATAGGAGGAGAGAGCTAGGAAGAAGTGTGAAAATTAAGGTAATAACCTTATCATAACTTTTCCTTTATTTTTTCTTCTACCATATGAGTTATATATCATATGAATAACCCCTAGGATGGTTCTACATGCCCAAAGTGTAGAACAATGGGTTGAAAGATGGTTATAAGTCCAAGAACGGACTTAGAAGCCAAAGAGACCGGCTCACCGGAAAATAACCTTTTAGAGGTTATTTGTATTGATTTGGGTTTTGTGATGATAAAACCTTGTTAGGCACTTGTAAAGGGTGATTTAAGAACTTTCACGAAGTTGAAAGAGTCGCCGGAGTTCATCAAAGTTCGCCGGAGTTCCATCGGAGTTCAACCGGGAAGGGTAGAACTTCACAACGCTCATTCGAGGTGAGTGGACGGCTTAATGTCTTATAACTCTTGGGTTAAGTGTGAGATTACCTAAATAAATGTTATAAGTATTCATAATGATGTTTAAAGGAGTTTAAGCATGTGATTAGCCTAGGTAATTAGGCTTATGTGAATAAAACTACATGATTATGCATGTGAAGAATATGAAAAATGTATAAAAACATTTGTGATGTTTTGGATGACCAAAATGACATTTATTGGTTGTTTTAGACATGATATAGGTTGTATAAAAATTTCGGGTCAAACGGATCACGTTTCGGGGGTCAACTCGGGGGTCAACGAGCCGTTGACCCAAAACTCCGAACATACCCGGCGCCGGGTATAGGGTCTACCCGGGGCCGGGTAAGCTACTGCCTCCACATTTTAATTTCACCGGAAACGCGAACCGAAGTCCGGTTCGAAGGAGGGGCTGACCCCGTACAACCTATGTGTGTATATTGTGCATGGAATTGCATGGAATATGATGATTAAATGTCAAGGTTGATAGTTATTGATTTAATTCCAAGACTTGGTTTAGTCTTTAGTAATATTATGATATAGACCCTATCTAGTGTGATATGTGGTAAGTCATAGGTCGGGTGGAGTACCCAGGGATCGGGCGTGTATCCTCAAAACTCGGTTATAGGGTGGAGTACCCAAGGATCGGGCGGTTATCCTCAAAACTCGGTTATATAGGGTGGAGTACCCAAGGATCGGGCGGTTATCCTCAAAACTCGGTTATATAGGGTGGAGTACCCAAGGATCGGGCGGTTATCCTCAAAACTCGGTTATAGGGTGGAGTACCCAAGGATCGGGCGTGTATCCTCAAAACTCATAAGATTTCATTTAATGATCTAGGACCGGGCGGTGTCCTTATGATAATTTATTGGAACAAGGAGGAGTTCTATACACTCATAGGTATATGGGTGGGTTGGGATTTAAGTCAAGGATATTGGCTACTATTATTTTCCCAAATAAACAATGACCTACGGGTCGGGTATTTTCCAAGTGTATGCATACTAATATGTATTTCAAACTTGGGGAAAGGACTATACGTATATGTATCACCCTATGTTTGGGTCTTATACTTGAAACGTTAGTTATTCTACATTTAGCTTGCTACTCGCTCGGTACTTGTACTGACCCCTTCGGGGGGCCCCACCATTTCAGGTTGAAGCTAAGGCTAGCTATCCACACTTTGCTCGGTGAAGTATTCCAAAGGAAGACGTGGTTCGTGCTTCCTTTACTGTTTAAACTACAAACTTGCTCATGGATACTTTGTAATAAATACATTTGTTTTGGGCCTGCGTGCCTACGTTTTGGCCAGGTGTGGCCCATGATTGAATATTGAATATTTCCGCTATTCATTCAATCCCAATATGTGATGTTGTTATGTATGTTTACTTACTGAGTATGGTATGGACTATGTTCATGGACGCCTTGTGTGACTAAGTCGCGTTGACTTGCGAGTGACGTCATTTAGTCATACGGCGGTTGTACACGCGCTCAGATGCGGTCCGGGGCGTGACAATTTAGTGGTATCAGAGCCATCTCAGTTTCTAAACTATGTGATCAACCTCTCACAAGAGATTTTACAAAAGAATTTTACCGAAAACCATGAGCATTGTATTTTGACGCTTATAGAACTATTGTTACCTAAGTTGCAAGGTCTCTGGTTGTTAAGATGGTACCCTTAACAATTGGTATGGCGGTGACTCGGGCCAATACGTGTCTATAACGTTTTCCGTCAATTGACATTGATTGGAGTCTAACGACTCGTCCAAATTCCTTTTCAGAAATGGAGGGTAGACGCATGCAGACTAGAAACAATCCGGGAGGGCAAGCACCGATAGCTTCTGTTGAAGCTAGCCGGGCTGCATCTCGAAGCTCCAGAGGTGGAAGAGGAGGCCGTGGAGGCCGTGGAGGTCGTGGGGGCCACCGAGCCAAACAGTGAGTGACGGCCATGTGAGTTCGGTGTACGAGACTAACACCGAGGACTACGACTCTACTTATGTTCCCGAAACGGAGCATGAGGAGACCCCATATGATGGGGGCGATTTCCACACCGATGATGAGAATGATGATGAGAGTGATGCCCGGTTTGCCCAAATGGGGGAACTTCTAGAGTGGTATCAAAAGGAGAAACAGAGGAGAGACATGAGACGCCAAGCGAGGCGTGCTTCTCAAGGTGTTTCGGCTCAAGGAAGCCGTGGAGCTTCAAGGGCCACGCCTGTGGCGCCACAAGGTGGGCGTGAGGGAGGTTCTATAGTGAGAATCTCCAAATACCTCAAGGAGGCTAGGGCCTTGGGGTGTAGGTCCTTTGACGGCACAGGCGACATTACTATTGCCGCCGATTGGATCAAGAAGGTGAAGGATGCATCGAGAGACATGCAAATTACTCCGGACGTGAAGTTAACTGTCGCTTCACGGTTGCTTGAGGGGATGGCTTCCACATGGTGGGAAGGTGTGGAAGGGAAATACCGTGGGGACATCTCATGGGAAAATTTTGAAAGGGAGTTTTACGCCTAATACTACTCCGATTTCGAGGTTAATGTGAAAAGGAGGGAGTATACCAACCTCAAGCAGAAAGAGGGTTGTAGTGTTAAGCAGCTGGAGCAGGAGTTTAGAACCTTGGCTAGGTTCTTACCGGAGTATGCGATCGATGAGGACCGCATGACTGAGCACTTTTGGGATGCCTTACTTTTAGACATTCGAGACCGTGCTACATACTCACGCCTCATGACTTTCAGTGAGGTGGTAGAACAGGGCATGCTGGGAGAGGCCCAGTGGAATGAGAGGAAAGCAAGGGATGCCGAAGAGGCAAAGAAGAGAAAGTGGAATAGTTCGGGGCCGCCCGATCATTCCCGAAGGAACAACCACGGTGGTGGTGGCGGTGGTTCATTCAAGGCACCGGCTCCACCGGCAAAGAAGAATAGAGACGCGAGGTGGCACGGACCTAGGCCACAAAACCCGGGGGCACCGAGATGTCCCAATTGCTCAAAACAGCACTTTGGGAAGTGCAATGAACCACCGAGATGTTTTAAATGCGGGAATGCGGGCCATATGAAGGCCAATTGCCCTCAATTGATGCAAGAGAGTGCATCAGGAGCCGGGGGAGGGGCCATGGCGGGAAGGAACCGTGCGGGACCGTCGCACGGGAAGAGGCGGCGCGTCAACAAGCAATGCCGCGTCCGTTAACCAAGGCGGGGCCCAAGCGAGGGTCTACGCGATGACCGAGGCCGATGCCCGGGCTAACCCCGACTCCGTTGCAGGTAATTCCTTGTTCATACTTGTAATGTTCATATACATGTGTGTTTTAAGCTTTAGGGAGCAATTACGAGTTAACCGACGGCATTTCCGGCTCGTTTTCGGGCGAAAAACGAAGTTGGACTGCCCAGGGATGAACCGGCGCCGGTCTGGGCTTGACCCGGCGCCGGTCTGGTGTAAAATGATGAACCGCGGGCTGACAGTAGCTTACCCGGCGCCGGCCAGGGGGGCAACCCGGCGCCGGCCCGGAAAAATTTCCCGGAGGGTGCTATCCAGTAGCTTACCCGGCGCCGGCCAGGGGGGAACCCGGCGCCGGTCCGGGGAAAATTTTCTGATATTTCGCTCCAGGGGTGAACCGGCGCCGGTCTGGGCCATACCCGGCGCCGGCCCAGTTCACTTTTGCCACTTTTCGATTCCAGTAGCTTACCCGGCGCCGGCCAGGCCTATACCCGGCGCCGGTCCAGTGTATTTTCGTCCGAAAAATTTTCGTTTAGCCCTATTTTCGACCCGGTACGTGTGTAGTGTGTCTTACATGACTTATATATGTAGGAACCTTAAAGATCAATGGTAGAAACGCAAGAATTCTCATTGATACCGGGGCACAACGTTCATTCGTGAGTGAAGCGTTTGCCGAAAGTTTAGGCGTACCGTTGATAGCAATGACCCAACCCTTGTTGGTCTCTACACCGTTGGGAGACGATGTGGAGAGGAAACACTATTATCCATCGTGTGAGGTAGAAGTAACGGGTCAACCCTTGACTTGTGACTTTGTACCTCTAAGTATGTTGGAATTCGATGAAATTCTAGGGATGGATTGGCTCGAGAAGTATCATGCTCGGGTAGATTGCTACGCCAAGGTGTTAGAACTCGAAGATGCTGATGGCAACGCTCTACGTTTCGAGGGAGATCGGGGAGGATCTCATAGTTGTATCATATCCGTGATGAGGGCACGGAAGATGATGAAGAAGGGATGCCACGCATACCTTGCTTACGTGGTTGACGAAACAAAGAAGGAGGCTGACATCAACGATGTACGCGTCGTGTGCAAGTATCCGGACGTCTTTCCCAAAGACTTACCGGGACTTCCACCCGATAGAGAGATCGAGTTTGTGATCGAAGTAGAGCCGGGAACAAAACCCATTTCGATTCCTCCTTATCGAATGGCACCGGCAGAGCTTCAAGAATTGAAGGTCCAATTGCAAGAGCTATTGGACAACGGCTTCATTAGACCTAGTCATTCACCGTGGGGAGCACCGGTACTCTTCGTGAAGAAGAAGGATGGTACATTGAGAATGTGCATAGACTACCGACAGTTGAACAAGGTCACAATCAAGAATAGGTATCCTTTACCGAGGATTGATGACTTGTTCGATCAACTTCGGGGGGCTATGGTGTTCTCAAAGATTGATTTGAGGTCGGGTTATCATCAGTTGAAGATCAAGGAGAGTGACATACCCAAGAGTGCATTCCGCACTAGATATGGTCACTATGAGTTTCTTGTGATGTCATTTGGGTTAACCAATGCACCGGCAACATTCATGGACTTGATGAACCGAGTGTTTAGTGAATACTTAGATCAATTTGTGATAGTATTCATTGATGACATCTTGATATACTCCCAGAACGAGGAGGAGCATGAATACCACTTGAGACTTGTACTTGAACGACTTAGAGAAAAACAACTCTTTGCCAAGTTCTCCAAATGTGAATTTTGGCTTAAAGAGATTGGCTTTCTCGGGCATGTCATATCCGGTTCGGGCGTTGCTGTGGATAACGCCAAGATAAAAGCCATCATTGATTGGGAGAGACCCAAAAATGTGAAAGAAATACGTAGTTTCCTTGGCCTAGCGGGATACTATCGTAAGTTCGTAGAGAAATTTTCCGTGTTGGCATCTCCATTGACGAAGCTCACAAAGAAGGGGGCTAAGTTTATATGGGATGACAAATGTGAGAAAGGGTTTCTTGAACTGAAGAAACGACTCACCGAGGCACCAGTTCTTACTCTACCCAAGCAGGGGATAGGGTACGATATCTATAGCGATGCTAGCATCCAAGGACTTGGGTGTGTGTTGATGCAAAGGGGTAAGGTGATTGCCTACGCTTCAAGGCAATTGAGGAAACATGAAGTGAACTACCCTACTCACGATCTAGAGTTGGGGGCGGTGGTGTTTGCACTGAAAATTTGGAGGCATTATCTCTACGGGGAGACATGTCACATTTATACCGATCACAAGAGCTTAAAATATGTATTCACTCAGAAAGAGTTGAATATGAGACAGAGGAGATGGATGGAGTTGATCAAGGACTACGACTTGATCATCGAGTACCATCCCGGAAAGGCCAATGTAGTGGCCGATGCACTGAGCAGGAAGAGTACGTCAGGGACGTTACTCACATGTCTACAGGCATTGAGGGCACGCGTAGAGGTGTCCGCGTGTGGGACCCTCATTGCTAGATTCGAGGTTAGGCCTACGTTGCTGAGTGAGATCAGTAGATGTCAGGCCGTTGATGAGGAATGTCAAAGGATCCGTGAACGGATCCTTGAGGGACCCGTTGAGAACTTTCGTATACGTGATGATGGTCTGTTGTTATTTAAGGATCGTGTTTGCATACCAAAGGATGAAGAGCTCCAAAGGTCCATACTAGAGGAGGCTCATTTTTCGGCCTATGCCATGCATCCAGGGGGTACTAAGATGTACCGGGACTTGAAAGAAAGTTATTGGTGGTCAGGTATGAAGAGGGACATCGCAGAATACGTGAGTCGATGCCTTACTTGCCAACAAGTTAAGGCGGAGCATCAGCACCCAGCGGGGCTTTTGCAACCACTTACCATTCCAGAATGGAAGTGGGAGCATGTGACCATGGACTTCGTGGTAGGGCTACCCCGGACAGTGAACAACTACGACGCCGTTTGGGTAGTGGTTGATAGGCTCACCAAGAGCGCACACTTCTTACCTATCAACATTACTTACCCTCTTGAAAGGTTGGCCAAGTTATATGTGGAAGAGGTTGTGAGATTGCATGGAGTCCCGATATCCATTGTCTCGGATAGGGATCCACGATTCACATCCAAGTTTTGGCCAAAGTTTCAAGCATCATTGGGTACTAAACTGAAGTTTAGCACAGCCTTTCACCCACAGACAGATGGACAATCTGAGCGGGTGATACAGATTTTGGAAGACATGCTTAGGGCATGTGCCTTGGAGTTCCAAGGGAGTTGGGACAAACACCTGGCTTTAGTGGAGTTTGCCTATAACAACAGTTATCAGGCAAGTATTGGCATGCCTCCGTACGAGGCACTGTACGGGAGGAAGTGTAGGACACCATTGTGTTGGGACGAGGTTGGTGAGGCCAAGCTCGAGGGAATAGAACTTGTTGAGATCACCAAGGCTAAGGTGAAAATCATTCGTGACAGACTTAAGGCTGCCCAAGATCGGCAGAAGAGCTATGCAGACAAACGGCGAAGGCCGTTAGAGTTTGAGGTCGGGGATGAAGTTTTTCTAAGAATTTCTCCTTGGAAAGGTATCATCCGATTCGTATCAAGGGGTAAGCTTAACCCCCGATACATTGGTCCGTTTGAAATCCTGGAGAGGATTGGGGCCGTAGCTTATCGTCTCAAGTTAACACCGGAACTTGAGCAGATTCATGATGTGTTTCATGTATCGATGCTCAAGAAGTATGTGCGGGACCCGTCACATATTCTTGAGAAGCCACCGGTGGAGATCCGAGAGGACTTGCAATACGCAGTAGAACCGGTAAAGATAGTGGGCCAACAGGTAAAGCAGCTTAGGAACAAGGAGATTCCTATGGTGAAGGTGCTTTGGAGGAGTGATCGAGTCGAAGAAGAAACCTGGGAGACCGAGGTCTCAATGAGGGAGCAATACCCGTTTCTTTTCGATTAGACACGTGGATTTCGGGGACGAAATCCCAAATAAGGGGGGGTGAACTTGTAACACCGTCCCCAAATATATTTACCGTTATGTAAATTATGTATTGAATATGGTGTATTGAGTAATGAATTTACGAGGTTGTAAATTTTTGTTATTTCTTTTGCGTGAATAGTAAATTCCACGTGGGGCCCACACTCGAAGCGGGGGTAACCCGATAACACGAGACCACATGTTATATTCATCTTGGTCTAGATAATAGTTACATGGTGGTGGACATTCATAATGGGCCATGATAAAGGCATTGGGTTGACCGGTTTGGCAAATAGGGCCCAATTACCAGTATTGGTAATTTAACATATAACAGCCCGAAATGAATTTCGGGGGATATTAAATTAAAGTTGGGGAATGTATATTCATTATGAGGGTCATAATGATTGAAAACACATAATATATTTTATTTGACCAGATAAAATAAAATATAGTTAAACTAGTCCGAGAAATACAACTTTCGGGGCCGAATGTACACGTCGGGACAACATGGGATGACCTCCCACATGAGTGGGGGCCACCCCACGTTTTTATGGGCTATTGAGACAAGGGAGGGCTGCTCAATGTCATAGGGAGGTGGCTGGATGATTTAATTGGCATCAAACAAGTGTGGACCTCACTCCCACACTTATTTGCTAAGTAAGACAAGGAGGAAGGTCTCCTCACTCCCACCCCTATCACTCAGCTCGACCCAGCCCCCAAAGAGAGAGAGGAAGAGCTCTGAAAATCCTCCATCTCCATAGCCAAGAAAGCTCAAACAAGCAAGGAGCTCAAGGGAGAAGATTATAGGAGGAGAGAGCTAGGAAGAAGTGTGAAAATTAAGGTAATAACCTTATCATAACTTTTCCTTTATTTTTTCTTCTACCATATGAGTTATATATCATATGAATAACCCCTAGGATGGTTCTACATGCCCAAAGTGTAGAACAATGGGTTGAAAGATGGTTATAAGTCCAAGAACGGACTTAGAAGCCAAAGAGACCGGCTCACCGGAAAATAACCTTTTAGAGGTTATTTGTATTGATTTGGGTTTTGTGATGATAAAACCTTGTTAGGCACTTGTAAAGGGTGATTTAAGAACTTTCACGAAGTTGAAAGAGTCGCCGGAGTTCATCAAAGTTCGCCGGAGTTCCATCGGAGTTCAACCGGGAAGGGTAGAACTTCACAACGCTCATTCGAGGTGAGTGGACGGCTTAATGTCTTATAACTCTTGGGTTAAGTGTGAGATTACCTAAATAAATGTTATAAGTATTCATAATGATGTTTAAAGGAGTTTAAGCATGTGATTAGCCTAGGTAATTAGGCTTATGTGAATAAAACTACATGATTATGCATGTGAAGAATATGAAAAATGTATAAAAACATTTGTGATGTTTTGGATGACCAAAATGACATTTATTGGTTGTTTTAGACATGATATAGGTTGTATAAAAATTTCGGGTCAAACGGATCACGTTTCGGGGGTCAACTCGGGGGTCAACGAGCCGTTGACCCAAAACTCCGAACATACCCGGCGCCGGGTATAGGGTCTACCCGGGGCCGGGTAAGCTACTGCCTCCACATTTTAATTTCACCGGAAACGCGAACCGAAGTCCGGTTCGAAGGAGGGGCTGACCCTGTACAACCTATGTGTGTATATTGTGCATGGAATTGCATGGAATATGATGATTAAATGTCAAGGTTGATAGTTATTGATTTAATTCCAAGACTTGGTTTAGTCTTTAGTAATATTATGATATAGACCCTATCTAGTGTGATATGTGGTAAGTCATAGGTCGGGTGGAGTACCCAGGGATCGGGCGTGTATCCTCAAAACTCGGTTATAGGGTGGAGTACCCAAGGATCGGGCGGTTATCCTCAAAACTCGGTTATATAGGGTGGAGTACCCAAGGATCGGGCGGTTATCCTCAAAACTCGGTTATATAGGGTGGAGTACCCAAGGATCGGGCGGTTATCCTCAAAACTCGGTTATAGGGTGGAGTACCCAAGGATCGGGCGTGTATCCTCAAAACTCATAAGATTTCATTTAATGATCTAGGACCGGGCGGTGTCCTTATGATAATTTATTGGAACAAGGAGGAGTTCTATACACTCATAGGTATATGGGTGGGTTGGGATTTAAGTCAAGGATATTGGCTACTATTATTTTCCCAAATAAACAATGACCTACGGGTCGGGTATTTTCCAAGTGTATGCATACTAATATGTATTTCAAACTTGGGGAAAGGACTATACGTATATGTATCACCCTATGTTTGGGTCTTATACTTGAAACGTTAGTTATTCTACATTTAGCTTGCTACTCACTCGGTACTTGTACTGACCCCTTCGGGGGGCCCCACCATTTCAGGTTGAAGCTAAGGCTAGCTATCCACACTTTGCTCGGTGAAGTATTCCAAAGGAAGACGTGGTTCGTGCTTCCTTTACTGTTTTAAACTACAAACTTGCTCATGGATACTTTGTAATAAATACATTTGTTTTGGGCCTGCGTGCCTACGTTTTGGCCAGGTGTGGCCCATGATTGAATATTGAATATTTCCGCTATTCATTCAATCCCAATATGTGATGTTGTTATGTATGTTTACTTACTGAGTATGGTATGGACTATGTTCATGGACGCCTTGTGTGACTAAGTCGCGTTGACTTGCGAGTGACGTCATTTAGTCATACGGCGGTTGTACACGCGCTCAGATGCGGTCCGGGGCGTGACATTTACACATCAAACAGTTTGTGATGTACTGCCGGAAATGTCAATAGCGGGCGGCGTAGTGGATTTTTCCTGTGATTAATCACACACGAATAGCGGGCCGTAGCAGTAGCGGCCCCTACCGTGACCGCTATATAGCAGCCGCTATAGCGGTAGCGGGCCGCTATTTCAAACCATGTATATAACTATATCAGTGACTAAACAAGTACGCCACGACTTGATGATATCCTCCAATTAAGCTATGAGGGTAGCCAACACTCAACAAACTGATGTGGCGGAGGCCGGTGCGCGGCAGCGATGGCAGCTTTGAGGAAGTACAATCCCGAAAGGCCAAAAGTGAGTGTCCTTGAAGGGGGGGGGGGGGGGGGGTTAATGAAGCCGTCAAGTGGAAAGTAGGAAAATGAGCGGAAGAGGTAAAGGAAAAGGAGGAAGGAGTAAAGAAAAAACAACTACTAAAGAAAATATGAAGAGGCTAGGCTAGAATAAGGAGGGAAGAAGGCGTGGGAAGAGGACAAACGAATGGAAATAAAAAGAAAGAAAAATAAGCACGAAAAAGAAAAATAGTGACCAAATGACCGGTAAGAAAAGGTCATATTCCTGTGAATTAGGATGTGATTCATTTTTAAGAGTAAAAGTGTTTATTTGATGTTTATTTTAGTATATGGGTTTATGTGATGGTTTGACAATTGTAGATGGGTGTATTTGACCATTTTCTCCCTAATAAGTAATGTTATCTTATACCTAAAACAAAGTACTACATATGTGAGAGAAAACTCATCCACTCAATTATTAATCAACTTGTGGCTTAATATGTATTTCAATCTAATCTAACATTTAACACTACATATGAGAGAGAACATTCTCCCGCTCAATCTTAACATTCTCCCGAACCATACTGTACCAAAGCGAACTAAACCAAACCGAAACCGGACCAGTTGCAATTTGGTTTGAGTTTAATTTGGTACTATTTCTTCCAAACTGTATTAAACTGAAACCGATAAAAACCGAACAAAGCCGAACCGAACTAAATAAATTCAAAAAATCCTTCATATATTATTAAAAATTAACAACTCCAAACCGAACCAAACTGAACTAAACCGAACCAATCCAAACCAAAAAAATAGTATGATTTTTGTTTGGTAAAAATTCTTCCAACCTGTTCCAAACCGAACCGAACTGAACCCGATAAAAAACGAAACGAAAACCGATATACCTAGCCCCTGCTTAAAATTACTATATTTGAGAGAAAAAAATCTCTCATTCAATTGTTAGCAGGCCCAAGGCCTAGTATATACTCCGTATGCTATGAAGCACGGATACTTCACTAGGGTGCCGTATCGGCGTATCAGAAACGTTCCCGTATAAGATACTCTAGGATACTCGTACCGTACGTTCCCGGGCTGTATATGCAATTTTTAAAAGTTTCCATTTTTTGGTAATTATTTTATAATTTTGGATATTCGTATCCTGACGGATACCCGTATCAACTTTTTTTAAAAAATTCTTCCAAATTTTTTCTTAAAAACACTCAAAATATACATAATAAAATTCTTAAAAAATGAAAAGTTAAAAATAATTTTTACCTTGCTTTTATGTGATATACACAACTAATGGGCATGTTCCTAATTCACTCATCCTACTATTCCTAATTCTAATTATCCCTGTAAATTAATAGCTCCAGCGGAAATATGTATTAGAACTTTTAAAATATTGTTTTCTATCTTCATTATTATAGAACTTTGAGTACTTGCACTTTAATTTCAAAATTGTAGTTGTTTGACTTATTTCTCATTTTAAATTAATGACTTATTGATTATATTTATATTTCGAGGTGCACCCGTGTCTATGAGATAAAATATGAACTTAATTCTAAGTATATTGAAAATGTAAATTGCTTCAATGCCATTAATGAGTAGACGTCAGAGAATAATATATGTCTATTTTTTTCAAAAAAAAAATGAATTTTTAATAATTATAAATACACCCCTGTATCTTTTAATATTTATAAATACACCCCATAACTTTTGATATTTATAAATATGGCCCTGTATCCTACGTTTTTGGATTTTGTCGTATCCCCGTACCCGTTTTCGCGTTTCCGCGTACCCGTATCGGTGCTACAGAGTCCGTATGTGATGGAGTATATGGCCCGGGAACCCCCGGCCCACAGACTCCCACTACTCCAACACAGGCCCAAGAAACACAAGAGGCCCAAAACACAGCGGCCCAAGCTCAAAGGAGCCCACAGTGCGCCTGGGGTAGCCTTCGCCAATATGGCCGAAGGCTCCAAAACTCATAGGACAGCCAGATTTGAGCAATACGAAGCTACTGAGAGAAAATGGCAGAAATCAAGAGCCTTCGGCACTTTCGTGCCCTCGGCATCAAGGAAGCCTTCAGCTGAACCAAGCCTTTGGTTACACAGAGCCCTCGGCCGCAGGGAGAGCTTTCGGCTAACAGCTCAATCATCGAAGATTCCCTTTGGAGACAAGCAACCACCGCATTTAATGCGGCGTCACGTCCAACCACCGCATTTAATGCGGTGCACATGCGAGTGCCGGTGCCACCCCGATTGAGGTGACCCCTCGGCCGTTAGATTACTGACACGTGTACTCCCATCGCATTTATTGCTGCTATAAATAGCAGCCCCTATTCCTCTTGTAAAGGGCAGAACATCTCGAGTTCATTTAATATATTTGACTCTCTCTCTCTCTCTTACTTGTTTGCTCTGATTTCTCTCTAGGTTATTCTCATAATAACCCCCGGATAAGCTACCCTCGGATACACTATCCATCAGTATATAATCTAATTTCTAAAAGCACTACACATGAGAGAGAAAATTCTACATTGACACCTAGCCGTGCTGACTCACCTTTTAGAAAATTATCTAATACTACGTCCCGAATTGATTTACAAAATTGATTTTTCTTTGTCAAACAGTTTCATTTTATTCATATCATTAGGATGCCGAATTTTAATTATATTTGAATTTGGAGTTTGCAAGTTTGAAGAGATTTTAATGTAGTTTCTGAAAATATATAAATTTTATTTGTTTTTATTTTTTTGAAAACATGTAAATTTTAATTGTTAAATATTGATTTAATTATGAAAGATTTAACTTTAACATTACTTAGTAAATACTCCCTCCGTCCCAAAATTATCTTCATAGTTACTATTCACATGGTCAACTCAAATTACTCTTAATCTTTTACTTTATATATCAAATTTTTATCAAACTTAAATTTTCTTGATCAGACTTTGTAGCGGTTTTAATGTAGTTTCTGAATATGTAAATTTTATTTACTAAAAATAATCCGAGTGGGAACAGGGATCGAGTTGCTTTATCGTCAGTCAAACATCGTAAACCGAACTATGAAGATAAATATGGGACGGAGGTAGTACTTGTTTAAGGAAAAAGTCAAAATATGGAAGAAGGGCCTTATTTAAGGAAAAAAAGTGAAAACCCTTTTAGTCATTCTGGCCCAAACTAATTAATTGAATCTGGAACGTTGTAGAATGTAGAACCTACAAACGCAGACCGAATAATGGAAGACTTGGAAACGGTTCTATGGAAAGTTTGGAAACACCTCGAAAGTTCTGGCTCCATCGTTTCTCTCGTATATGAATGCGTTCGTGCTCCTTCCGTCGCTCATCGAAGTTAATCCAGCTAAATTAATCATCAAATTCGTACTCCAATTCAATTCCTAACAGAAGTACCAATTCAGATTTGAGTCAATCATGTCTCTGATTCCAAGCATCTTCGGAGGTCGCCGGAGCCACGTTTCCGACCCATTCTCTCTGGATATTTGGGATCCTTTCCAAGGTTTCCCGTTTTCCAACGCCGTCGGCTCTGCACGGGAAACGTCGGCGTTTGCGAACGCGCAGATCGACTGGAAAGAGACGCCGGAGGCTCACGTGTTCAAGGCGGATCTACCGGGGCTGAAGAAGGAGGAGGTGAAAGTGGAGGTGGAGGAAGGGAAGGTGCTGCAGATCAGTGGGGAAAGGAGCAAGGAGCAGGAGGAGAAGAACGACCAGTGGCACCGCGTAGAGCGGAGCAGCGGCAAATTCCTTCGGAGGTTCCGGTTGCCGGAGAATGCTAAATTGGATCAGGTGAAAGCGTCAATGGAGAATGGTGTGCTCACTGTAACTGTTCCCAAAGAGGAGGTGAAGAAACCTGAGATCAAATCCATTGAGATCTCCGGTTAGATCTCTGCAATGGCAATAAGCTAATTAGTAATTAAGCTTATCCTGCTCTGTGTTCTTTTGGGTGAATAAGGAATGTGTTGTGATAAGATATTTGTGTCAATTGTTCGAAAAGTTCTTGAAATGCCATGTATTTCTAGTACATTATACGGAATATGTTGGCATTTTATGCAAATGTTGCATAATTTCTTGAAAAAAATAGTGTTAAATTTGTTGGAAAGATAGTATTGCAAGTATTTTTTTATTTTTAATATTTTGAACAAAGTATAGAAATATATGGCTCATAGTACATTTTATAAATTGTTTTTGTTCTATTAATTTAATGATTGAAAAAATGTAAAAAAAGCATTAAGCATTCTACGATACTAGTCAATCTACCCGTGCGTTGCATGGAAAACAAATGAAATCAATTTATTTTTACAAATAATTCATTTCTTGAGTAATGTGTATATACATACTTATTGTATAAAAATAAAAACATCATATAGAATTATACGAAGTATTAGAATACATGTATGATAATTGTTAGTCTGTTAGAGATACACCAATTAGTATCAAACTAGTATTCTTTCATCCCTAACATATCTTGTCTAATGAAGGTGATAACAATTGTAATCATATTACAATCTCATACCTAGTATTGTTTAGTGGAAAAATTGAAAATAATAATCCCAACTATTGTCGGTCCGCTGAAAATAATCCCAACTATTGATTATTTTTGTATAATCCCAACTATACAGACTATCCGCCAATAATGGTCCATGACCATATATCACCTCTATAAAAAGTGAATTTTAAATAGAAATTAAGCGTAAAAATTAAAAGTTGAGATTATTTAGAGGGATTACTTGTTATATCTCACCACATCCACTTTAGAAACTACAAGAATTTATTCATAGGGACCATTATTGGCGGAAGGTCCCTAAAGTTGGGATTATTTTGTAATAATCAATAGTTGGGATTATTATAAGCGGACCGCCAATAGTTGGGATTATTACTATCATTTTTTCCTTGTTTAGTTATAATTATGATTATTATTCAACACATGACATTACTTTTTACTATCTTGTTGTGTTTTAAAGTTTCTAAATATATTCCATCTAAAAAGCGAAAATATTTATTTTATACTCCATAATATCTCTTCATTCATCTCAATATATGTTTTATAAAAGCTAGATATCAAGATTGTTAAAATCACTATATGTTTTATAAGAACTACATATCAATGTTGGTAAAATCGTGAATTGAATCGTAAAATTGTATAATTCAGATCAATATCATTCAACCAATTTGACTCGTAAACAAAATTGGAAATGTTAAAAATCATTTCAAAATTGGGAACCATTATTTAAAATTGTGATTTCAACGGATTTTTAAAATAGTTACTTATTTACTAATGAATAGTTATAGTAGAATTAAATGAATGAATTTTTGTATTTTATGTTGCAGCTAATTATAAAAAACAATTACTCCATCATCTCGTTAAATTGTGCTAACTTTATTTTTGCAGCTGCCCCAACAAAAATTGTCATTTCCATTTAAACTAATAAATGTGTAGATAAATTATTTTTCTCAATTGATTTGTAAAAATTTCAATCACATACAAAGTATTTTTTACTTTATTTATATTCCATATGCAAGTCAATTTTAGACACATTTAATGGGGGTACTGAATATTATCATTGTCCTCTACATAATATTTGTATCCAAATATATTGTAATACTCTATTTTATATTATGAAATTAGAACATTTCATTTTTAACTTTATTATATCATGTCTCTTAATTAATTATGTATATGTATCTTTTAATATTTTTCTAATATTTTTTTAATATTTAATGTATTTATGCTCAATATTATTTTTTTAAGTTTTATTTATAACTTGAAACAATTAATTAGGTTGGCAGTTAATATGACTTCACTAAGTAATGCTTCATTAATAGTGACAATAATTTTCTAAAGTTTTATTTATAACTTACAACAATTAATTAGGTTGACACTTGATATGACTTCATTAAGTAATGCTTCATTAATAGTTACAACAATTTTTCACTTCTTTTGGCTCCAAATAGATTTCTATTTGGATCTCCACCATGTTCTCTTTATATATATAAAGATAAAGATACTACAATTGTGGGAGTCCGTTTTATAGCACTATAAATGGATGAATTTGTTGGAATTTATAAATTGCAAATAAAGTTAAAATGTCATTTTACATTACCCGACTCGATTAAATAACATTTATTCCTAACACAATCAATTAGAACTATCAGGATCAGTTACACAGTCCAATAAGTTACATTTATCCAGACCGATCAATTACAATTGCAATTATCCAGTTACACTTATCCGGAGCAACTACTTATAGACTTAATTGTGGGTGACCACGGCTAGCCACCACCCCAGCCCACAAGTGCCGATTACGGCGGTTACTGTCCGACAATCACTCTCCACTTGTCCGCAGCCTGTAATAGACTAGGGTCATTTATGTATTTTAAACATTACTTCTCTATTATAAATATATCTGTTCGGGCTCCTTAGAGGGCAACCAGTATTATTCTCTCACCTGATATCAAGAGCATAGGTTAAACCTATTTTTTTCCATCTCTTCTCTCTCTGGAATCACCGCCTCAGGCTTTTCCACGATATGGCCTCCGCTGCAGCAACGATGTCCACTTCCGCTTCAGCTAGCGCAGGCCTTGGAGTTTCGTCTTCAACCTCTGCAATTGGCGCAGCAGTTGTCACAGGTTCGCAGCCATCTATCCTCATGCCGTCTAGCGCCTCTATCTCGTCTTCCTCATTCGCCTCACCACCGCGAAGCACAGCACTGCCGTACAGCCTCTTTCAGACTCTGCCGCCAGTGTTTTCATGGTCAGCGTCGTCCCCTGTTCAGTCTGTCCCTTTGGAGCCGCCGCCACAATCTCCTACTCCGCCTCAGTTTTCTATTCCGGCTTCTGTCCAGTTTTCGGGACCCAGTTTTGTGGGTTCCCTGGGAATTTCTTCGTCCGGAACTACTGCACGGCCTGGACCGACGTCTTCTTCACCGTCTCCCATGGCTGATTTAGCTCAAACAATGTCTCATGTGGCAACCAATGTCACTAATATTGTGACCATGAAATTACAGGCGGTTGAAGACTACACTATGTGGCGTACCCAGTTTGAATCCTTTCTTGTCTCTCAAAATCTTCTGGGAATGGTTGATGGCTCCGTTCAGGTACCCTCTGTTTATTCCATAGATCTGTACAATCGTCAAATTCCCAATCCCGAGTACTCCTCATGGTTGCGTATTGATCAAACTATTCGTTCATGGCTATTTGCAACTTTATCGTGTGATGTGCTTATTGATGTTCGTGATTTAAAACACTCTTTTGGGATTTGGGAATGGTTGAATCCGGATTTACGTCTGCCAGTTTAGCCAGTTCTATGGAATTAAAACATATGTTGAACACTATTAAGAAAAAGCCTGGACAATCTATGGACAGCTATTTACGGGAAATCAAAATTTTGGTGGATGATCTTGCTTGTATTAATTGTCCTATTTGTCAACTTCATATGCTTAAGGCTACCATTATGGGATTGAGGAAGGATTATGCCTCCATGATCAACACTCTTTCCTTATTCCCCTCAAAATCTTCCCTTTGAAACACTACGAAACCATCTCATTGAGATGGAGCAACAGGACAAATATTTCCACCAACATGAAGCTTCCATCACTCATCAGGCGTTTGCAGCCCAGAACCAGCCGTAGCAAGGTCAGCAGAGTCCTCCGGCTCCTGTTGCTCGTAATCAAGGTGGCCACGGTCGGGTCGCGGTCGAGGCAGGTGCGGCCAGCAGTACCCGCAGCAGTACGGCCAGCAGGGTCTGCCACATGGCTATGGTGGTGGTGCCTCGTTTCACAGTGGGCCTTTTCCGGCGCCAGCTCCGGGTAGTAATCCAGGGGGTGCACTTACTAACACTGCAGGTACTGTTATTAGTAAGTTTGCACTGTCCACTTTAAATTAGGGGTGGGCATAAAACCCGAACCGAGCCGGTACCGAACCGGCCTGTAATGGTACCGAACCGTATATCAGGTATTTAAACGGTTCTATAGATTTTTATCCTGAACCGAAACCGTACTGTTTGAAACAGGTACAAGACCGGTCCTAGATTTTTAAACCGAAAAATACCGGACCGGACCGTTCAAAAATAATGTGTTTGAATTTTTTATATATTTCCCATACCAATAAATCTATTTTATAGACCAACAATTTTATACACATGTATGCATTCTTGTGTCTCTAAAATAACTAAATATGTGTGTTTATATGTATATTGTTATTTTTTCTTTTTAGATAATTTGTGTTATATTTTGGTATATATTGAAAGAAAGTTAAAGGTTTAAAAACCATTAATGACTATTCATTTCTAGCAATTAAGTGTATATGACTTTTTTTTTGTATATTGTTTGTGCAATTTTGCAACTTAATTAATTTGATTTAAATATTAGCTATCACGGTTCAACTATAAATTAAATTAGAACTAATATTTAACCTAGAACAAAGAAAAAGAAGAACGTTGAATTTTTCTATTATACTCAACAATTTGATGATATTCTTTTTATATTTTCACATGAACTTGGTAAATTAGAGATGATATTTATCTCATGTATCATCATTTTGCTATACTTTTTCTTAGTTGTGTTGCACTATTTGTGTGTGTGAATTTTAGTACTACGTATGCAATTTCTTGTATTTCTATCAACACTTCATGTGAGTTGGTTGGTGTGATGATATTTACCAATTGCATGATTTGTCCAATTTTTTTAGCATGGGTTTGGCATTGTACCGTACCGTTTTGTACCGTTCTGAAATGACATGGTACCGAATGGTTCCATCCTTAGAACCGGACCGTACCGGACCGTTAGAAACCTCACGGATACATTACGGGTTTTACTAATTTCCCGGACCGTTCCAGACCGCGCCCATCCCCACCCCCACTTTAAATATTCGTGTCTTACCTGTATGTGCTACTAACTATGGTTCTGCGGGCTTTCCATCAGATGGGGGTATTCTGGGGTCAGCCTCTCCTCCTATTGTTTGTCAGATTTTCTTTTCTACAGGTCATTCCGTCATTGCATGTCCTTCCCGATTTTCTCAGCCATCTGCACCTGCACTAATGACTACTCTTGGAGAAACTAACCCTGCTTTGTGGTATCCCGACTCCGAGGCTTCTGCTCACATGACGGCCTCTGAACTATTAGTGTTGCCAATGGTGAACAATTGCCTATTTATAATATTGGTGATGTGCCCCTACCCTCGTCTGGTCGCTCTCTCATTTTATAATCGTTTATCATGTGGCTCAGTTAAAATTGAATTTAATTTCTATTCAAAAAT